CTAGGAACCATATCCACTATGGCAGCAGCACCAGATTTCAAGAATTTGGGGCCACCTTCCAGCTTTTTCCCAGGAAGATGATCAATCTTCTTCAGCAAACTTGTGGGCAACGTGAGCTGCTATTGCAATCCAGCACAGATGCACATCCAGCAATGATTTGGCCCCCTTTATTTTGGCTAGAGATGTGCAAATCATATTTCACTTGGTCAGATGTCTTTTCATTTTCATGCAAGTCTCCAGACGTGGTAAGCAAGCGGGAGACTGGCCCAGTCTTGGAGAAGACCAGGGCAAGGGAAAGCCTCCTTAGCACTTCACAGGCTGTGAGGCATGGACATCGGTGCTTGACTACCTAATTTCCATTTCTTCCTTGTTATGGACTAATGTTTGTGTTCCCCTAAAGCTAATATGCTGAAATCTTAACTCCCAAGTGTGAGGTTGTCTTTAGGAGATAATTACAAGAGATCATGAGGATGGTGCTGGAAATAGTGCTCTTATAAGAACCGACAGGGGAGTTTCCTTCCTCCTCGCACCTTCTCTCTCCTTACCCATGTCTTCCCCACTTTTTCCTCTCTCGCATTACTCTTCAATGTTTGAGAATATAACAAGAAGACTGTTGTCTGTAAATTAGGAAGAGGGCCTTAACCAAAATCCCAACTATGCTTGCACTCTGACCTCAAATTTTTACTCTTTAGAACTGTCAGAAATAAATGATTATTGTTTAAGTCACACAGTCTATGTTTTTATGTTAATGCAGCTTGAACTAAGGCTTTTTTCTATTTTTCCAATTTTCTGAGTTTGATCCACCTTCAGGAATTGCCATTGTATGTAGTTCCTGTCTCACAGCTTCCCTCCAAGTCTTAGAATTTTAAGCATTTGTTAAAGATGTCTCTTGTTATGTTAATGAAGTCAACTTTTGGGAGACACTTGATGGTGGGGCTGCTTACCAGGGAAACCAACTTGAATAGAGGGTTGGAACTTCCAGTCCCACCCCTTGACTTCTGCAGTGGAGAGGGGTTGGAGGTTCAGTTCAGTTTCCATGATTTAGTCAATTATGCCTGTGTATTGAAACCCTATCCCCCTTGTAGCAGCAGGAAGACCCACAGAAGGATTTCTATGATCCAGGCAGATGGGTAAAGGCGGGGGAGAGGGGGAAGGGGCCTGGAGGCTTACAGGCCTCCTAGCCCCGCCCCCTCCTCACTCTTTCTGGGCTCTCTGGCATTCTCTCATGCTGCTCTGCTGGCTCCTTCTCCTACTGCTACTCTTTCTGCTGGCATCCCCATGACGCCGCCCTTATAAGCTGTGTCTCAACCCAGGTGTACCGATCTACGCATGCCCACACCCAGCTCCAGGTGCCCACCATCAGGCATGCATTCAGGACCACAAGGATCCATCATCATCAACGCTAATGGTGGGAGGGTAGAAAAGCCTGATAATTACTTACCCTACACCCCCAAAGGAGGTACTTCATAGAGCTCCCAGGCTGTGACCATGAAGGTTTGGGGCAAATGACACTCCTGTGGAGGGCATGGAAGCTTTGGCCTTTCTCCCTATACCATTTTCTACACACTTCTTCCATCTGGCTGTTTGTGAATAATATCCTTTGTAGAAATCAGTAATCTAGCGAGTCAATCGGTTTCCTGAGTTCTGCTCTCTATTCTGGCAAATTAATTAAACCCGAGAAGGGTGTCCTATGACCCTTAGATTTATAATCAGTCAGTTAGAAGCATGGAGGAACAGAAGCACAGGTGATGATCTGGGTTTGTGATGAGTGCCTAAAGTTTGAGATGAGGTTCATGGGAACTTCCAGTTTGTAGCCGGTTGGTCAGAGTCTAAATGGCTTGCAGCAGGCATCTGAAGTGGAGGGTTGTAGGGTAAAGAAAAATGTCAGGCTTTTCTGCCCTCCCACCATCAGGATAGATGATGGATCCTTGTGGTCCTGAATGCATGCCTGATGGCGGACACCTGGAATAGGGTGTGGGCATAGGTAGATGGGATTCACCTGGGCTAAGACTGTGCTTTTTTTTAAGGGCAGCGTCACGGGGACGCCAATAGAAGCCAAGAAGCCGAGCAGAAGCCGAGAAAAGGCCGGAGAGCTCATAGAGTGAAGACCTGCTGGAGACGCTGGGAGGCCTGCCAGCCTCCCAGCTCCCCCAGCACCCCTGCCTGCTGTGTACTGGGTAAATCCCAATAAAAGACCTGCAAAAGCCACTAAGGACTCTGACGACTCCTTTACCCAGTCTGCATGGGATCAGAAACCTGCACTGTGTCCATTCCTGACCTTACAAGGATGCTCTTGGGAAATAAGCACTTGACTTGTGGAATCTGATGCTATCTCACGTAAGCTAGTGTCAGAATTAATGTGGGGGTGTGTGGAAGTCTGAGCACCCACGCCCTCATTGAAAGTGGTCTCAGGGAAACCAAGTATACAGTTCCATTCAACAAAATGAAAAATGATTCCTAATTTCACTTGTGTTTTTTATAGAACATTAATGGAGATCTGTGCTGCAACTCAAAGCCTAGCTCTTCTTGAGTTCTTTGTCTTTTCTCCTCTAATTCTCTCAAATTTGCAACTGAGAGCTCGAAAAAGGGATTAAGAGAACTTGTGTTCGTCTACATCTTCTGTAATACATTCATCATATCTTTCCTTAATGCACCCTGGACTATCTTTTTTGTTCTACTTTCTTCCAGATCTGACCACACTGCCTTTTTACAGTCATTGCTGAGATTTTGCCACTCTTAGATGATTGCAAGACCCAATTACTGCATTTCTCTGGACAGTCTTTCTGGGGGGAAATGCAAAAAACCCTTTGCAAATTCTATCTCACTCTGATTGCATTTTTGTTGTAATTAGATGAATCAGATTATCTTCTTATATTTAATTTTCCATTTATGGAAAGTTTATGGGTCAAACTGTTTATCTTTTTGGAGTATTCACTTAAAGAAATCCCCCCACTAATTTTCAAAAGTCAAAATACCACATTTTAAAGAAATTAAATACATTTACTGCATTTGTGGAATTCATTTTCATTCAAATGGCTGACCTTGTTTTTCTTTTGTTGTTGCTTTGGAGAAGTTTATGGTTTTTCATGTGATCATCTCCTTGAAATTCATCTGCTTCATTCCCCCTGTAGTGGAGCAGCTCTTTCAGGTTCAGCAGTGAACCCAAATCAAATACTAATCTCCACCTTTTCAGTGAGTATATGAAATACAAAAGCACAAAAACAGGTGCATGCAGAAGAGACAGGTATGCATACTTGTGCTGTAAAGTTGTAATGTGAAACTAATATTCTCTTCTACTTGTGCATTTACTCCAATTCCTTCATCAATGCACTCCTGTTGAGGGTAAACCTGAAAGTATCATATTATAGAAAGAAACAACACAAATTACCAGGGGAAAAAAATTAAGCCACAGTTTCTCAACTACTCAAGTTGGGAAATTGACTAGTGTCTTTATTAGAGTTAAAGGGTGCATATACTCTAAAATTCAAAGAGTTCTTTCAATGGAAAAAGTCCAATAATTCTAAAATACACCTAACTACAGTCCTGCCATCTAATCTGCTTTCCTTTATTGGCTAGGGTTAGTTTTAAACAGAAAAAGGAAGGATAGGACTCATGGGTCATTCACCTGCTTCCTATAATAGTTTAAATGCTGAGGTGTCCTTTAACTTTGGATAGTCATTGGAGCCTAAGCTGAGGAATTTTTTTTTAATTCTGGTCCAATGCAAATATTTATCTATTGAGAAATATATAATACATTAGAAACGTAAACCCACCATCTGCTTGAGCCAACACCCACCTGTAAGGAGACGGATACAGGCTGGTATCCTGTTCCTCCAGCTCCTTAGTAAGGCAGCTGCCACTATGGAGACTGGTTTGTTTGAGCTGCCCCATACTAAGATTGACTGATAAAATTACAGAAGGGTGTGTACATTTGTTGCAACCCATAAAGATTACTTTCAGGTTCTCTTAGAGAAATCCTTTTACAGCATGGAGTCAAGAGCAGACTGAAAACACCAACAGCTTTGGATATATTGGTGAATTTGTGAATTATTTGCAATAAAGATTAGTGCATGGAATGATATAAGTGAGAAATCAGCTGCAAAGATTTTCAAAGATTTATTTAATTATGCTTACAAGGTCTGGGGTACAGGCCAGCGATGGGTGAGGGGAGGCACTGAGAGGATTCACCAGAGACAGAGTGGGGAGCAAAATAGGCAGACTGACTGAAATACAGTGCTGAGGGGAGCAGTAGGCAAGACAGGAGAGATCTGCTGTGCCATGTGGGTTTGCTCCCTGGCTGGGGATCAAACGGGCAGATTGACCAAAATATACTGCTGAGGGGAGAGGCGGGAAAGTCAGGAGAGGTCTGCTGCACCATGTTGATATCTCCCTGGCCAGGGATTGAATTTGCTGCAGAGGCTGCAGAGAGCTTCATAGGTTGTGTCTTAACCCCTTCTGCCACCAGGGAGGCCCTCTCACTGTTTTTTAAAGAAACCCTCCAAGTGACAGACATTTTGGGGTGATCCAATCATGTAGTGTTTCTCTGAAGGGTTTACCTGAGATAGCCCTTTGGGGAAGCCTCTAATACAGAAAGAAAACATAAAGGTAAATAGGAATTATAGTTGAGAGTCAACATTTTGCACACAAAAAAATTATACAAAGGTTTTCCCATGATGTTAACATGCCTTAACCAAGAAGCATGATCGTTTAAGTTCCCTGGGTAATTTAGACAAGTTATTTGTCAAATCGAGCTCTGAAAGTAATCAAGCTAAACCCACTCTATGGGGGTATATTGCTTTACTCTGCAATATTTCTTAGGAAACCAAAGAACTATATGAGAAGTGGAAATAAAATCTGTAGGTGCCCTTTAGAGTTAATAAAGTCAGAAGAGTGCGACTTTGTATGATACAAGATCCAGATTTTAGGAAGATACAATGTAACAGTGGTTTTTAAAGGGACAGTTTAAAGTCCTCTTTATTTGTGTCTCAAGTCTCCAAAGCTTTGCTCTCTCCAGCTTGCCATTGTTACACGCAGATACACAGGTGGAGGCATTAACCACAAACGTCTGAGAGCAGAAGTTGCTGAAGGAAGGACTTGTGCAGAGCCGGCTCTGCAGGGAAGGGCGCCAGGTAGTGCATGACGGCCGCCATGAGGGCAAAGTGTAACCCCAGGAGCGTCTTTTAGAAACTGGAAAGCACACCCACAGGTAAATTGGCTTCTTTAAACTTTTCATGTTTGTACAGAGGATAGCGCTGTAATTGAAGAATTCTACATCATTTAGGTTTGTGATTTTAAAGGATGAGGAATGTTCTGGTTATTGCAATTATGTTATCCTGCCCCTCCTATCCAGGCCCATAAGATTCTCAGGCTGTGCCTCCTGTTACAGTGAGTCACCAAATTTGATAGAGCTTATCTTTTGGTTTGCTGGGGGTGGAGGCTCAAAGCTGGGAATGGCGCGCCTGCCTACATTATTTTTTCTATAAACTACAAATTAATGTGAATTCCCCTTTTATAAGGACATACTCGAAATATTTTCAGGTGTTGTACAATGTCAGGTTGGATTAAGTCAAGTTTTCCACAACATACAAATACAAGGCAGAGCAGGTGCACGGTGATAACTTGATTCTGGAGGCAAACCTTGCTGGAGTTGAGTACCCCCACTGTAGGGACAGAAACAGGGCACTGAGCAGGTTTTCTGATCCAGCATACATGGTAAAGGAGGAGTCAGAATCCTCAGTGGCTTTTGAAGGTCTTTTATTTAGGTTTACAGGGCACGTGGCAGGCAGGGGTGCTGGGGGGCCGGTAGGCTGGCAGGCCTCCCAGCCCCCAGCAAATCCTCCCTCTATCTGGGCTCTCTCTTGCGTTCTCTCTGCTTCTCTTCTTCTCTTAGCTTCTGCTCGTTCTTGGCTTATGCTGGCATCCCCGCAATGCCGCCCTTATAAACTCAGGCTCTCAGTCCAGGTGTACTCACTTCATGTGCCGCCATCAGGCATGCGTTCTGGAACACAGGGTTCCCTCATCTATCCTAATGGTGGGAGGGCAGAAAAGCCTGATCCTTTTTTTTTTTTTTTTTGGTGGTGGTGGTACCCTCGCCAGTGGCCGGGGAACGAACCAGCGCTGCAGAGGCTGTGGGCAGCCTCGCAGCCCAGCACTCAACCGCTGTGCCACCAGGAGAGTCCCAAAAGCCTGATACTTTTACCTTACCCTACACCCAGCAAACTAGCTGTGTGGCGTCTTCTTTTAAATCTAAGTAATTGGACATATTCAGGTCCCAGCTAACTCCTTCTAACTGTAAAATGTAAAGCTAACTGCAAAATGAGGATAATAGTATTTAACATTTGTGGTAAGGTGTTTGTGGGGATTACTGCATGCCAGGGCCTCAACCCAGTGCCTAGAACATAGGAAGGGTGCAATACATGTTTAATAATAACTGAAAATATGAAATTATGTCATCAGGTCTTTCTTCTCGGTATAACTTTTGTTTTCAATTAAATCAATTATAGCTTTTGTTTTCAATTAACAATTCAATCAATTGTTTTCAATTAACTAAAAGCATTGGTTTTAGTTATCTCATAAACCTGACTGAATCATTTGAAGCTCTTTAGGTATTGAAATAACATTTAAATGGACAGAAATTGTTGGGAGGGTGGAAGTAGAAACTGACAAACTAAGATTTTTCCTTGAATGGTGCTTTTTTTGTGTTGGGAGGATTTGTCTCCTTACCCATCATGTGAGTTGCAAATTGGGGAAGGGAAGGATGTAGGGTAAATGGAAGTGATCATGGTTTTTCCACCCTCCTGCCATTAACATCAATAATTGACACCTGTGGTCTTATACGGGTGCCTGATGGGGGCACCTGGAGTAAGGTGGGGGCATGGGTGACAGGCACACCTGAGCCAGAGACTGAGCATATAAGGGTGGTGACACAGCCACGGCAGTGGAGGACCGGAGGGGGCAGAGGACTGTGGGGCAGAGTGTAGTAGAGGTCAGCGGAGAGACCAGGAGAAATTTCGAATGCTAGAGACAAGAAAGAGTGTAGATTCCCCTGGGGCTAGCAGACCTCTTGGCTGGCTGGCCTCCCTACCTTCCCTGCACCTGGTTGCCTCATGACAAATGGTGTAGAAAGATCATTAAAAGTCTGAAAAATCCACTGTGGGCCCCAGTCCCAGGACTACTCCTTTACCTCTCTGCCTGGGTCCATAGAGACCTTGTAGTGCCTTGCTGGCACTGCAGGGGAGAACCATCTGCACTGGTTTGCTAGGTTGTCATAGCAAAGTAGCACACACAGCGGGGTGTAAATAACAGACAATGATTATCTCACAGTTATGGAGACTAGAAGTCTGAGGTGGAGGTGCTGGTAAGACTGGTTCCTCCTGAGAGCTACAAAGAATCTCTTCCATGCCACTTACGTAGCTCTGGTGGTTTATTGGCAAACTGCTGTGTCCATAGCATCTGCTGTATGGCCCAAATCTCCAAATCTCAGCCTTCATCTTCACATGCTATTTTGTCTGAGTGCATGTCTCTGTGCACTCAGGGGACACAAATGTCCCCTTTGGATAAGGACATGAGTCTCACTGGATTTAGAGACCCTCCTTACTCTAGTACGACCTCATCTAGAGTAATGAACTATATTCTTCAAAGATTTTTTTGGCAAATAAGGTTACTTTTTGTACTGGGGGTTTAGGATTTCTACCCATGAATTTTAGGGGAATACGATTTGACTTACAATAACATCCTACCCTGGAGAAAAAGTATAATATACTTCCAGAAATGGCAATAGTCAATGCTTGGCAAAAAATCTACTTGTATGACTACAAAGGTGTGGACAGTAGATTTATTCCATCTTTTATGAAACTGTTCATAAAATGATATTCATAGTTAATCATTGCAAACACCATACGAGTTACACATTCAATAGCATCCTGTTGTGGATACTGACCCAGAATTCACGTAATTTATTTTGTGTAGGGGGTGTGAGTGTGTGAGAGAAAGAGAAAATATAATGCATGGGGAGGGGGAGAGCCTATATTTACAAAATACTAATGATGACATAAACCAATGGTACTTAAAAAAAATAGGCTCCTTGGGCCTCCCTGTTGGCAAGGGGTTAGGCATTGCACTATGAAGCTATCCGCAGCCTCTGTAGCATGAGTTCAATCCTTGGCCGGCCCGGGAGCAACCTACAAGGTGAAGCAGACCTCTCCTGTCTTGCCCGCTGCTCCCCTCAGCAGTGTATTTCAGTAGATCTGCCTGTTCTGTTCCCCACTCTGTCTCTGGTGAATCCTCTCACCCGCCCCCCCCCCCCATCTCTGTCCTGTACCCCAGCTCTTGTGTGCATAAATAAATCTTTAAAAAAATTACTTCTCTAAAAAAAAGAAAATAGGCTCCTTAATGTTTGCAAATAGGATATATGGATACCCTATCCATAACGGTGGAATACATTCTGTATCAATATTCACAATTGCTGCATCTTATGGAAGCCTCAACGCCCTGTTGGAAGTTTTGGCCATTTCTCTGCTACTCCCAAGTCATCCATCCTCCTTATTAGTAAGAAGTTATTTCCCATCAGTGATAAATACTGAAACTACCTCACTCTTACCTAGTTCATCTTTGTGTCCACAATATCTGGTAGAGAGTAGGATTGTTTGAATAACTAGGAAAGAGTAAATGCTATACTTTGCTTGAGCTTTCGAACTCATGAATTGACAGATTGATGTGAAACATAAAAGTAATGTTGCTATTTTAGGTAGTAAATAAAAGGAGGGAGAATAGAGGAGGAGCATCTGCTGCAATAATTAAAATCTGTGGTTCCAGTATTTGTAAATAAAAGGCCTGTCACCCAGCTTAATGTGAATTTCACAGAAAAAAAAATATTTAGTATAAATTTGTTACAAATATTGCATAGGATGTGCTTATACTGAGAACAATGTTGTTTTTCTCTAAATAAAATTGGACATCTTACGCTTTCCTGACAACCTATTCTAATCTGTTTTTGAGATTTTTTTGACACACGTCTTTGAAACACAAACGAAAGTTCTCATAGCTCATATATGAAAATTTTTACATGTACAGAATTTGCATGCTATTTCAGATAGTTGATATTAATAATTTAATTCATAACATTGGTTGTGTTAGAGAAGGAATAAGTATATTTCTGGAGGTTATAAAAGTAATAGAAGTGAAGTTATATATGCATGTATATTCTAAGTGTAGTCCTACAATTCAAAGCTAGGAAGTGTTTGATCCAAACCACTAATTTTATGAACAAATTAGGTAGAAATATCAACTAGGATATAATGTCAATTGTCAAAGTATGGCAGAGAAAGATGTTAAATTGGTGACAAGGGTACATGACTAATGTAAATTATTAACTAATTGCATGTATATAAGTGTTAGTATATGTATAATTATAGGCACAAGTAAATTATATATAATAAACTATACTTATGCTTTTTAAAATATGATGGCTCATTTTGTTTAAATAATTTATTAAGTAATATTTTATACAGATCAAAGAAAAATAAGTGAATTATCTATTTTGTTTATTCTTAAAACAACAACTAAATTATCAGCTGATCTAGTCTCGGTTTACTAAAATGATCACTGATATTTTCTGTCTCTGATGCACTATTTATGTAACAGTGGAATCAGCTGCATTATTTTAATAAGTTCAGTAGTTAAGCCAGAAAATGCACTGCACTTTGACTCAGGGCATTAGTTAAAATCAACAGATTTTAATCTAAAATATAAAAATAAAAATAAACTCCTTAACTCTTGAAAGCTAACCAAAAAACTGAAGCACCCTAAGGGGGAGCAGGTGGGCGTGACATAAAGACAAATTGGGGAGATAGCACAGTGGACATGGTGGTAGATGTGGGTGCTTTGGTAAGTGGGTGCACTATGGTGACTGCATCTGTTAGGGGAGATCCTCTATTTTGCAAGGTACTAACAGTGATATAAACTAATGGTTATTTAAAAAAAAATAGGCTCTTTAATATATTCTTTGCAAATAGGATGCTTGGGTATCTATTACTGATGATCATGCAACCTATTTCTATCCAAACAGATCAGTTTATTAAAAGTCTATTAAGATGAAAAGACTAATGATCAAATAAAACCTGTAGGGACTCTTTCTTTCTCTGACTCATGAAACATAGGAATTAATCAGCTATTTATTTTTTTAAAGTTTTTTTTTTTTTTTTTTGT